TATTCAGACATCAGAAAGCCTATCTCTGACAGAATCACTACACTTGTCTAGACTTTTCCATGTCTTAAATGATTAGCCTCAGAACAGTTCCACTTTCTCTTTATGGCACCCTACAATTTTCTGATAAAACTTCATCTTCTATTTATTGTTTCCCTAAATAATAAAACATTGTAAGAGTACAGAGGTAGGGAGCCTGCCTTGCATGCAACCAACCAGGATTCAATTCCTGGCACCCTATATGGTCTCCCATGATCCTCCAGAGTTCTATGTTCAGGGGGTAGTCCTAAAACAAGCCCTGAGCACAGCTGTGAGTGGCTCAAAACCCAAAAATATTGTTTCCCTAAATAAAATCTACAGACATTATGTAGTTTGGATTCAAGAAATGACTGCTAATGACTGAACAAAGTAGTAAGCGCACACGTGTCTGGACTTCGAAAACAACTGATTGTAGAAAGCGACAGCATCCTGGTCGCTGGGAAGAAAGAGCGCTGGTGAAGAAGCTCCCATTGACAAATACCCTTGATAGGGAACCACTTTGGGAATTAAGTTTCCAAAGGTCCGGCAACTTCTAATTACACCATAAAATAGCTTCAGGACCTGAAAAACTGAGAACAAACTCTACGCCCTGCAGATCTCTGCAGCGAAGTAGAAATGATGAACTGAAGATATAGGTAAAAAGACCAAATATCAGTGATTTCACACAGTTTAATCTAAACAGTGCACTCTATGGAGCTCTGGCTGAAGGGGCACTTAACTGTACAGAGGACGTGTCTCTCTGGGGCTCAAAGAAACAATTTGTGCTGTAACTGGGGGAGGATAGAGTAAGGAGGAATAGAGGCGGTTCTCAACAAAAGGCCTCATACTCCCTAATTTCTTACCCATTTTCTCCTTGTGACATTTAAAAAAATGCAAGTTCAGTACCTCACTATTTTTTGAAACTGTGAAACACAATAAAGTTTTTAAATATAATACCAAAAGTCTAACTACCCCTAGACACTGTAATATATTGATTTCATCCTTTTCATCTGGTAAATCTCATACAATTAACAGCTTAAAATCTAGTGCAACAAGTCAAAATATAGTGCATATACTTCTATTCTTCATGTTTACATTATTAAAACTGTAATAGGTAAAAGGTAAAGGCCCTCCCGTTGATCGTCGGTTTGCTCGAGCGGGCCCAGTAACGTCTCCATTGGAGACTTTGTTGTTACTGTGTCTGGCATATCGAATACTCTCAGTAGCTTGCCGGGCTCTCCGAGAGGGGCGGAGGAATCGAACTCGGGTCGGCCATGTTGGCCGCTTGTAAGGCGAACGCCCTACCGCTGTGGTGATAGCACAGCGGTAGGGCGTTTGCCTTGCATGCAGCCAACATGGCCGACCCGAGTTCGATTCCTCCGCCCCTCTCGGAGAGCCCAGCAAGCTACCGAGAGTATCTCGCCCGCACGGCAGAGCCAGGCAAGCTCCCCGTGACGTATTCGATATGCCAAACACAGTAACAACAAAATCTCCAATGGAGACGTTACTGGGCCCGCTCGAGCAAATCGATGATCAACGGGAGGGCCTTTACTTTACAAAACTGTAATATATTATTCTATTAGCATTGTTAGCACTGTCCTCCCATTGTTCATCCATTCACATGAGTGGGCACCAGTAACATCTCCATTGTGAGACTTGTTGATACATATTATCCTATTACATACTTTTATTATGTATATTATGTAGAATATAATATTATGTTAAACTACAGTATGTGCATGTTGCATATTGGAATTGAAATACTTTCCAGAGATCAGCCATAGCCAAATATTGTTTAATTGGATCATCCTGACTTTTCCTGGTACTGTAAGCAACAATGCCTATTACTATCCTCAGGGATAGAGGACACAACACAGCTTTTCTTTCACTGTCTTAGGGTCTTTTACTGGTCATTAGAATTGAAACTATAGAAAAAGAATAAAGGGAGAAAATAATTCATTTCTGCCATGTACAAGGAGCTCCCTAGAAAATAAAGCCCCCAAGAAGTGTCATGCCTAAGTGGCTACATACTTGGTTAAATAAAGAGAAACAGTTGTGGGAAAGTAACTAAATTGATGGGGAGACCAAGAGAAAAAGGATTATTTTAATTGTCTGTTTATGCAGGAATTTCTCTGCCTGAACTCCCATCTCTGGTGATAAAAATGTTTTCTTCCTGTTGGTATGTTGCCTCCTCATTATTAGAAGAGGAAGAATGCTCACTTGACTTTGCTTAGAGGGAGACTGCGTCTTTGGATTGTGTGGCAGCACATCTCATTGTTATTCAATCTTACTAATGTCTCAAGTCATTTCCAAGAACATATTTATTTCTTTTGCTAACTAGAAATTTAACTCACTTGAACATTTCAGTTTGTATCTGACCAATAACCAAACTTCATTTCAGGGCATTACTTTCAAACTCTCTTCTCCTCAAATGCTAAGAATGATCCAAAATGCTTCCATGGTTATGAATTAATATTGTTTAAGAATAAACATACTACCCCAAAACAAAAGAATTAATATTTTTTAAGAATAAGCATACTACCCCAAAACAATGCACAGATTTAGTGTTAAGTCCTATCAAAATTGCAACGGCATTTCTCACCCCACCTCCCAATGAAATAGAATAAGCAACGCTAAAAATCAGAATGATAAAAGAAATCCTTAAATCATCAAGGCAATCTAGAGAAAATAAACCAAGTCAGAAGCATCATGTCCCCTGGTTTCAAGGCTGTAGTATTCAGGTTGGAAGAAAAACACAGTGTCTTATGGGGTCAGAGCAATAGTACACTGGATACGTGCTTGCTTTGCAATGGCTCACCCGGATTTCAATCATCTGTACTCCATAAGGTCCCCTGTGCACTGCCAGGAGTGATTCCTGAAGACAGAGTCACGAGAAAGCCCTGAGTACCTCTGGATATGGCCCCAAAACAAAACAAAATTTTTAAATATTAATAACAGAGATATAGAGCATATCTTACAGCCTTACAAGCGTATGGTCATGAGTTTAAAGCTCTGTTGCCCCCTCTATACTGGGTAGATCCTAGCAGCTCTCTCATTTGAGTTTGTGATTCCCAGCACTCACAACATAGAGTTTTTAAAATGAGAAGCTATAGTAACCAAAACCACTTTGGAATCAACATAAATGCAGGTAAACAGATCAATGGAACTGAATTAAGAGTTCAGAAATAAAGTCACACATATGTAGTTAATCAATTTGTGACCCCCCCAAAAAAAATTTACAACAGGGAAAACAGAATCTCTTCAGTAGATCATGTTGGGAAAAGTGAACAGCCACATGCAAGGCAATGTGAACTTAAAAACTCAGGCTGTGAACTCCTAGATATTAATTGTGGTGGTGATTTTTTATTTTTTTGTTTGAAAGCAAAAAAAAAAAAGGACCATATCAAACTAAAAGTTTCCTTGTAGCAAAGAAGATCGTTAAGAAAATGAAGACAGGGGCTGGAGCAATAGCACAGCGGGTAGGGCGTTTGCCTTGCACACAGCCAACATGGCCGACACAGGTTCGATTCCCAGCATCCTATATGGTCCCCCGAGCACCGCCAGGAGTGATTCCTGAGTGCATGAGCCAGGAGTAACCCCTGAGCATTGCCGGGTGTGACCCAAAAAAGCAAAAAAAAAAAATGAAGACACCCTACTAAATGTGGCGGGGGTGGGGGGTGCAAATTATATGTCTGCTAAGGATTAATATAAATGATATATAAGGAACCCACACAATAACAAGAAATAAAACAGCAATTTTTAATAATATTTTTAATTTTAAGATTTGAATAGACACTTTTCTAAAGTGAACACAGAGATGGGCAAGTCACATAAAATGTGCTCACCATAACTAATAAGGAAAAGCAAATCAAAGCACACACACACACACACACACACACACACATTGGCAAGGATGTGGAGAAAGGAAATTCTATGTCTTATTGGTAGATATGTCAATTTTGCGATCATTATGAAGAACTATGAAGGTGTTTAAAAAAACACTTTGATGGGACTACTGTGTGTTCCAGCAATTCCACTTCTGGGTATTTACCTGAAGAAAATAAGAACACTGATAACTCTAAAGGTAAAAGGTAACTAAAGTTAACTCTGCTGGAATGTTTACTGCATTATTTACAAAAGTCAGACAGGGAATAACCTGTCAATCAACAGAAGCACGGAGTAAATATGTTACTTACATACAATGATCTATAAATTCAGCAATTAAAAAGGAAAGTTCTAGAGACACTTGAGCCCATTCAGGCGTGATCCTTAAAAAAGCAGAGCCAGGAGTGATCCCCTAGCACCACCATGTGGTCCCCAAGCCAAACATGCAAAATAAAATTACAGAATAAGGGAAACAGCCCACTGACGTCAACACAGATGATGAGTCTTTAGGGCTCAATGCTAAGGGAAATAAGTCAAAGACAAAAACCCTAAGACCTCAGCTATGTCTCTAGCTAAACTTTAAAGAGAAAATCCCAGCTGGCTGACACCGAGAGCAGATGAATAACACATCATCTGCTGAAAAGGGGCTAAGAGAATGAGACTGAAAAGTCTCATCACAGAGAAGCAACTGCCCTAACTCTGTATGGTGATTACTGACTAGAGTGACCGGGGCATCATTTCACGGGCACGAGCAGACGGGAGCCTGAGAGAAATAGTGCTGTAAGTCCACGCCGTCTCAACAAGAAGCAATTCAGGTGAGATGCTCCCAATCTGACTGCCTGCCTAGCCTGTGTTCAAGAAAGCGCTCAGGATGCAGGTGCTCTGCAGGACCAGCCCATCGGCCCGCCCCTTCCGCCCTCCGCCTTCCGCCCTCCTCCTTCCGTCTTCCGGTCAGGGCGGCCCAGGGGCGGAGCCTAGAGGCTCCCCGCCCCGCCCGCGCGCTCTGATTGGCTAGCCGCCGTGGCCGCCATTTTCAAACCCCCCGGAAGATGGCGGCGGCGCGCTCCTGACAGTCTGCAGGCCGGCCGAGCGAAGCACCGGGTTTGTCCCTGTGGCCCGCGGGGTCCCCGCCCTCCGCACCATGGAGCCAGAGCTGGCGGCCCCGGAGCAGCCACGCCCGCGGAGGAGAAGCCGCCGGACCTCGGGGCTCGGCGCGGATGGCGCAGAGGGGCCTGCGGACACCCCGGGGCCGGCGCCCTCGGGCAGGTGAGGCGGGACGGGGCGAGGGAGACTGGTGGGAGGTGGAACGGGGCGGGGGAGGCGGGACGGGACGGGGGGAAGACTGGACGGATGCCCGTGAGCGCCGGGGACGGGGGACGGGGACGGTGGGGGGGGGGGAACAGGACCCGGGGGCAGGTGCGGCGGGACCCAGCGTCGTGAGGGTAACAGCGGGGCGGCGCCGGTGCCCGCGCTGAGCCTTCCCGGCCCCGCCCGGGACACTCGCTGTGGGCCGCACCCAGCACCAGAGCCTCTGTGAAGCCGGACTGGACCTCCCAAACGCACTCGCCGACCCCCCCAGGGCCCCGAGTTTCGGCCTGGGAAGAAGGCGTGACCCGCGAGCCACAGAGGGCAGAGACTTGGAGTGTCCCCTTCTCCCAGAGGGGTCGGGGACTTTGCGTGCACCAGGAGTGACTCGTGAACACTGTGCCAGGAGCAAGTCCCTGAGCCCTCCAGGGACGGCCCAGCACCTGGGGTGAATAGTGAATGCAGAGAACCAGGGAGAGGACCCTGAGAACCGTCCTGAGCCGAGCTGGGGAGAGGAGGAAGAGCCCTACGAGCCGTCAGGGGCCGCCAGGGCAGAGCTTTTGAAGCCGAGACCCGTTGGGCCCCTTTGTGACAGCTCAGTAAAGTCAACCTGGGAGGACACTGGAGCATGGACCAAAGGCAACATGGGCCAGATTTTGTGATGTCTGATAGACCACCAGAAAGTGTGAATTTGAATAAACGAGCTGGGAAGCAATGGGAAATGATGTGATCTGTATTATCAAAATGTCACTGTGAGTTAGATGGCAAAGCTACCAGTGAAGTTATTGTAATCTAGGGTATGAATGAGAGTAGTAGAAAAAGAGTTCAAGTTTTGAGTGCATTTTGGAGATAGTGTTGACAGAATTTGCAGTTGGATTAAATACAAAGTTAAAAAGGAACGGGGAACAGTCTTTCCCATGGATCACCTTCAGCACTGTTTAGGCCATGATCCAGGGACTCATAAATAAATCTATAGTGAGACCAACAAGATGCAGGAGATTCTTCTGGACTCCACATGAGGCTGGCTGAGTTGTCCAGATACCCCAGAGCCAAAAGGGTGAGCCCAACACCCACCTAGACAGAGCCCCTGCAGCCCAAAGTCTCCACAATTGCCACCACTCTCCCAGCCAGACTCTACTGCTCCAGAAGAGCCTCATCAAGAAATTAATCTGTTGAAAAATTCAGGTTTTGTGACAGGATTCTCCAGGCTTTCATGGATTTGGGGATGTACTACCACCTCCCCTATCCCTGTACTTCAGAAGCCCTGGCAGTCAGTCATGCACATGCCCAAAAATGCTACCCAGTTAAAAAATTAGCTCCAGCTGGATCACTTCATTAAAAAGTTTGGACTTCCTGGAGCAACATCTCAAGTTCTACAACACTGATAAACCAGAAATAGCAGCCCAGATTGGATGGGATATAATGTAGTAGGTATTCAATCTTAATTAACAAAATACCAAGTTTTTTCAGAAGCAAGGAAAAAAGGAAAAACAATTGTGGTGAACCTAAGAGGGTTCTTAAAATACTGCCTACATGTTCGATGACAGAATGGATTACGAAGAAGTGGTATACATACATAATGTAATGGTGTGCGGCTGCAAGGAAGGTAGGCTTAACTTGTAACAACATTTTAGTAAGCCCTCAATACAGGGGCTTAATAAGTCCATAGTAAGATACACAATCTTCACTTTCTTCTGAGGAAACAGTTTTTGATCATTCTTTTAGCAGATTATAACGAGCAGTATAAAATAAATTATTGAAGGCCTGCTATAGGGTGGTTGGAGACAATGGTGGAGGGAAGGTGCAATGGTTGTGGGATTTGTGTTGATATATTGAATATAACAAATCATCATGAACAACTTTGAAAACTGCAGTGCTTATATAAGATGTAAGGGGAAAATAAAATTAGGGAGGCAAGGAATGAAGGATGATGCCTGGGGAGTTGGGGACTAACCCTTGGAGTTCAGAGCTCTAAAAGAATGGTTCTCATGTTTTCAAAGAGAAAATGACTAGGGGGAAGGGTTTTTTTTAATAATTTTTTAAATTAAAAAAATTAAATTTTAATAAGTTTTAAAATTTAAATGATTTTTAAAGAACTGTGATTTACAAAGTTATTGATTATTGAGTTATAGGCATAGAATATTTCAACACTAATCCTGTCATCGGTGGCAACTTCCCTCCATCAGTGTTCCCATGCTCGATCTCACCTCACCCCACAACCTGCTGCCTTGACAGACATATTAAAGAGTTCCGTGGTTGCAGCTTAGATCTCATGTTTTCAACGTTGTTGAGTGCTTTGGATAGATAGCAATACCACTGCCCCACATCACCAGTATAATGAAAGCCCTCACCCCTGTTCCCCAGTTACTTCTCTTTCTAATCTTTCTTCTCCCCCTTGATTTCTTCTCTGCCCTTCTTTCTAAACTCTGGAGTCAAGGGTGATTTAGGCATGCCTCTCCCCCAGCCGCTTTTACTACATTGCGTTTCCTCATCCAGTTATTCTGTGTACCACATAGAAGTGAGATCATCCTCTGTGTTTCTTCTGGCTTACTTCATTCAACTAAGATCTTCCAGTTCAAGCAGGTTGCAGCAAATTGTTCCTTGCAGCTACATAGTAATCCATTGTGTATGTATACCACATCTTCATAATCCATTCTGTCATTGAACATGTAGGCAGTATTTTAAAAACCCTCTTAGATTCATCACAATTGTCTTTTGCTTTTTCCCATGCTTTGGGGGGAAAAAAACTATTAAACTTTAATATTTGGATGAAAGAGTGCATGAATCGTAATTGCCTAAGTTCATGAAATTTTATAAAGTGAACACACCACCCAGATACAGATCTGGGAGTTGTCAGCTTATAGACATTAAGTCAACTAGATATATAAGACTGCGGGGACCAAATCTGAGGCACTCCCAGCATTTAAAGGTGGGGTAATGGGACTAGACCAAAGGAGCAACTAGAGAGATAAGTGAATAGAATCCAGGAAACCAGACCAAGAAAGAACTTTAAGGACTTAGTGAGCCTTCCATGTTACTGATAAGTAAAGGAGGGTGGGAGGCTTAAATTAGATAAGGATTGAATAGACCATTAAATCTGTTAGTGAGAAGAGTACAGTGATCTTAAGTTAGTTTTGATAAAAGAGGACATTAATTTACAATGTTTGCAGCAGGTTGAAGGAAAAAAATGTGATCAAGAAATACCATGACAGATGGAGCGATAGCACAGCGGGTAGGGCGTTTGCCTTGCACGCAGCCAACATGGCCGACCCGAGTTCGATTCCTCCGCCCCTCTCGGAGAGCCCGGCAAGCTACCGAGAGTATTCGATATGCCAGACACAGTAACAACAAAGTCTCCAATGGAGACGTTACTGGGCCCGCTCAAGCAAATCGAGTATAGGAAATGGAATGAAAAATATTTTCCTTATTCCATAAGAATTTCTTCTATAACCTTATAGGAAAGAAAGGTGAATGTAATGGCGTGTGATAAAAGTTGCTGTAGCAGTATGCATAGGATGCCGTAGGTGGGAGTAAAAGGAATACTTAATTCTGACTAGCATTTCAGGAAATGATTCCTGTTAAAATCCATGGTTCTTGGAAGATCAGTTTGGAGAGATAGTATATGTGAGTAGCAGATTTTGTGTATGGGAGAAATATGTTTAAGTACCTGAAACGGGCTGGAGCACTACTAGCACAGTGGGCAGGGCATTTGCCTTGCATGCGGCAAACCCAGGTTTGATTCCCAGCATCCCATATGGTCCCCTGAGCACCTCCAGGAGTAATTCCTAAGTGCGTGAGCTAGGAGTAACCCCTGTGCATTGCCGGGTGTGAACCCCCCCATAAAAAGCAAAAAAAAGAATAAAGTACCTGAAACAAATAAACATTGTTTGGCCTAAGTATCTTTAACTAGTTTACCGTGGCTATACTCTTAATTGTGTGGGGGACAGGTCTCAGGTATAGGTATAAAGAGGAGGTACTGGTTAGAGCAGTTTCTCACTTATTTGGCTTGCCACCGCCTGGAAGTCTGTCTTCTTTAAGTGAAAAAACAGACCATCCTCCAACTGTACCTGAATTATTCCTGAGTGGGGAGGAGCAGGGTATTGCATCAGCCTGCTCTGGGAAACCCTGGTTGTACTGAAGAAGCAGAGACACAAAGGACCTCCTCATATGTCATGACAATTTGGGTTTTAGCTTCAAGTAATGGGGGGTAAGTGAAAGATGAGCCAATGACGGCTACATTTACACTTTAAGAGGTTGTTCTGTCTCTTCCAAGAGAAAAACACATCATTTTTAGTGATTGTTGCATTCTTTAAAACTTATGAAAACTAATCCCCCCCCTCCGCAAAATGTGCTCATATAAATAAAACATTAGGACATTTGTGAATCTGTCTCCCCACCCTGGCCCACCCACCCCTCTCTCACTTCTGTCACCTTTTTTTGTTTTTTTGTTTAGTTGGAGGGAATAAACCTCAATATATTTTAGGAGATATCAATAATGCAAAATATGTCCATCCACAATAGAATAAAATTGGGAATCAGCATAGGGGAAAATCTGGGGGCCTCACAAATACGTGGACATTAAATACAGCTAAATAATGGATAAGAGAACCCAAAGGAACTCAGAGTAATTTGAGGTCAATAGAGAGAATAAATCTTGTAGTTTATAGTTAAAGCAGTGGTTAGAAATTTGTACCTGCAGATGTCTATTAAGATTTCAAATAAAAGGGCCAAAGCAATAGGACAGCGGGAAGGGTCTTGCCTTGCAAATGGCAAACCCAGGTTCAATCTCTGACACCACATATGGTTCCCCATGTGGAGCTTACAGGATTATTGAGCAAAGAACCAGGAGTAAGCCTTGAACACAGCAAGGTGAAACCCAAACCTGCCTCCCCTGCACTCAGCCACCCTGTTTAAAAAAAAAAATTGTATCCAAATAAAATCTTAAGACACTAAAAACATGCAGAAAGAAATAATGAAGTTGAAATTAGTGGTTGTTTTTCATTGTGAACCCCTAAATACCTATACTATTATAAGTCAGCATCCTTATATTTTGTGATTTATTTTCTTTGTTAGATGGAAGAATGACCTCACATTTCTAGTACGTTTTTAAATGTATTACTGAACTACTTTTCTAGCCACTTATAATTCTAACTCAGTTCTAAGTTATATGCCATGGTAAGAGGGAAGCAACGCAAATCATGATATCTGATATCGGTTGGTTTAAGAAGTAAGTAACGGGAGCCTGGGCATTAAGCCAGGGTTGGCACTGCAGGGCCTGAGCCACAGATTTCCAGCCTAGTTGACCAAGTATTGCCAGAGGGGCTCCCACACCCATTGAGCACTTCCTGGGAGGGTTGGGTAGATTCTATTTTTTAAACATTATGCTTTGTTTAGACTAAATCTAGTTTCGCATAATCACAATTTCTCAGAAACAACAAAGATGTGAAGGAAGTGAATTGGGGGTCAAGAAATCATTAGAAGGGCTTAATTAAAATGATACCCTAAATATTTTTTTCAGATACTGCTTTTTATATCTTGAACATAATTGTGTATATGAAAGAGGATTGTTTGAAAAATTCTTGAAAAGCCAGAACCATCACTTTTCAACTTTTAAATCCTACCTTGGATTTTACTGGGTATCCTCTAGGAAGCCACTTAAATCATAATGTTTTGCAAAATCAGGATACTTTCCCACAAATCTTTAAAATAGCTCTTTCATTTTGACTCTAGCCCCCTAAAAAATGACCATGCTTTTCCAGGGCTTTTTTTAAGTTGACATCTGTCACATGATTTCTGGGCACAATTTGTTTTTGGGGATTCTTTTTTTTCCATGGACATTCGAGATAAATAGATACTTGTTATTGAAGTGGGGAAAAAATAGCACTACTGTAAAGCTGATTACAGTTAATGCTGGAAAAACTTTTGCCACTCAGTTGGAAATATTTTTCCAGTTTTAGGCTGTTTAAAATTCCTAAGAACTGTTTTTTTTTTCCAGCATTCATCAAATTCATTCTGAGGGCAATATGGTCAATTCTAGAGGATAAAGAAACGAATGGCTTTGGTTTTTTGTTCTCCTTAACACTTGTCTTCTACCTGAAAGGAAATGCTTATTGACTATTTCAATGACATATGATTTCTGCTTTGTAAAGAATATATTAGATTTTTAAAAACTAATCACTGTCACTGTCCTCCCATTGTTCATCGATCTGCTCGAGCGGGCCCAGTAATGTCTCCATTGCAAGACTTTGTTGTTACTGTGTTTGGCATATCAAATACGTCATGGATAGCTTGCCAGGCTTTGCCATGCGGGCAAGATACTCTTGGTAGCTTGCCGGGCTCTCTGAAGGGACAGAGAAATCGAACTCGGGTCGGCCATGTTGGCTGCGTGCAAGGCAAATGCCCTACCCACTGTGCTATCGATCCAGCCCTTAAAAACTAATAAAAAAAATCATAATCACTGCTTTTCCACCCAGTCTCCACTGATGATTTTTTTGCTTTTTTTGAGTATACTACATAATATAACAGCATTTGTCGATGCTGCTAATGGATCTTTGCCTACCCCGTGTTGTCCCACTGCAATGGGGTGGGGTGGTCACTAAGGCATTAAGGCGTGACGGGGGACTTAGGATGTGGGGAGACTTTCCTTTCTCTCGTCCCTGACCCCACCACCCTATGGGCTACTCCTCTGCTTTCCCACTGAACTTGACTTAGCTTCCTCTGAGTTGGTCTTAATACCAGTAAAGGTGGCCAGCTCCCCTGCCTTTGCTTATCCTTTGGACCATCATTTATTTTCACAAGGAGGATAATGTCTGAAAACATTAGTTTTTATAACTTACAGGCTATATTTTCTGTCGAAGCTGGGTTTTGTGATTTTTTCTAAATGTTTTTAGGCATAAAGATTTATATTCTGTAAAGATAAAGATAGACTTTAAATGGGTTGAATGATGGAAGAAAGATCTGTCACTTAATGGTAGCACTGTCCTCCCATTGTTCATCAATTTGCTTAAGCGGACCCAGTAATGTCTCCATTGTGAGACTTGTTCCTGTGTTTGGCATATCCAATACGTCACGGGTAGCTTGCCAGGCTTTGCTATGCGGGCGAGATACTCTCAGTAGCATGGTAAAGAACAGAATACTAGTGAGGTCAATTATGGGAAAAGGGATGGTTTGGGTTTTTATAGGTCACACTCTGCATAGCTCAGGGTCTCTTCCAGACTTTGTGCTCAGGAGTGACTCTTGGTAGTTACTCAAAAGAGAATCATATATGGAACCATTTTTTTTTTATCTCTGAGCCATACCAGGCTGTGCTTAGGAATTACTTCTGGCTCTGTACTCAGGGAACACTCCTGGTGGGCCTGAGGGATCATATGGGGTGCAGGGTTTTGAAGCCCATGTCAGCCATGGATTTCCATAGTAAATTAGTCTACTTGGGTTTTCACCCCATTAAAAATATCCTTTTATTCTTGGGGGCCAGAGCAATAGTACAGCATTTGATCTCTGGCAAAACATATGGTTCCTCAAGCACACCACCCAGAATAAGCCCTGAGCCAATGACATTCCAGAATCAAAAATAATAATAAAAATAATAATATTCTTTTTTTAAAATATTAGCTATGATTGTTGAACTTAAATAATTCTTACATCCACTGAAAAGTACTTTTTTGTTTTATTTAATCTACTAGCCAACAGATAATTAGGCTTTTTATATTTGAATCTATGTTCATAAAATAAACTTGACTTGGTAAATTCTCTTTGACATAAACTTTCATTCTGATTGCTGATTTTATGAACACTTAAATTTTGTCAATATTCTAAAAAATGATAGAATATTCCAACTTTGTTTTGTTTTGAATGCCCTCTTTGATTCTGTGATTGGGTGACTAACAAGACTTAATAGTTCTGAAAACTATGAAAGGGACCGTTTATTTTTCATATGTATAGTGCTTTGTCAGACTAAAAGTTCTCTATTGTTGTATTGACAGATACTCCCTTCGGAGGGGCAGCTCCTTCACGTTTTTAACACCTGGCCCCCAGTGGGACTTCACTTTGGTGAGAAGATAATTACATTTTTTTATTTTGAAATTAAATAAAATTAATTCCTGGACTCTCTGTTGGGGGTAAAGGTCAATTGCATATGTTTTTTAATATCTTGAGGTAAAGTTTCTGTTGCCATCTTTAAGGAATTAATTTCCAGGCAAGAATATGTGAGGAAAAAAATTTATTGCAGTTAAATATAAAACTATTTTGAAAAATAGCAACTCTGTTCATCCCTAACTCTGTACAGTGTCCTATTTGAATTAGTGTTAAAGGTGTGTGTTACAAATAGCATGAAGTTATGAATTTTTCTTAGAGTTTATGTCACATGTTTACAATAGTGTTAACATTGTTTGAGATACATTGTTCCCACACTTCCCCACCATCAAAGTGCTCAAGACCTGCCACATGTGTCCTTAGTTACTTCTAATCAAATTTTTCACTCCCCTACTTGGTAACATCAATGCTGTAATCTAAAGCCAAGGTTTATCACTGTTTGACACTGTCAGTGTACACCACAGATGAACAAGGTCAGCCCGTATTTGTCCTTTTCCTTCTGACTTATTTCACTTAATATGTTGCCCTCCTCTTCTACCCAGGTTGCAACAAATAGAGACTTCATCTTTTCTTAGAGTTGAATAGTATTCCATTGTGTATAATATATAGACGACAGCTTCTTTATTCATTCATCTGACTCCTGGACATTTGGAGTGGTCCTATAATCTGGCATTATCCAAGTGCTGCTGTGAACAGTATATATATATTTTCGAGTTTATATATTTGTGTCCGGGGGTGGGGGGGCTAGATGCCAAGAAGTGGAACCACAGGGTCCAATAGAAGTTCTGTCCTTTTTTGAGAAATCTCGCTACTGTTTTCCATACAGCCTAAGTCTAACTACATTCCCGCAACAGTGAATAAGGGTTCTTTATCCCTGCCAACACTAGTTGTATCTAGTCTTTTTGATAATTGGTATGAGATTATTATCCATTTTCATTTTGATTTGCATTTCCCTGATAATAATTGATTACATATATTTACTGGCCATCTGTCTGTTCATGCCCCAGTTTTGATGAGATCATTAGTTTTTTTGCGACTGAGCTTTGTGATGAAGGGTAAATATACCCAAAAAAGGTATCTTGGATATTTACCCTTCATCTAATATATAGGAGCCAATATGTTCTCTTATTTAGTAGGGTATCTTTATTTCAGCCTGTTTGCTTTAGCACATAAACACCTTTAAATTTGATGTAGTCCCTTTTTGTTTTTTGTTTGCCTGCAGAGTCAGATAATGAAAACATCTCTGAGATCCATACCCTATAGAATTGTGCCTGTAAATTTTATGGGTCCTGGTCTAATCTCAAGGTCGTTTTGTTTGTTAGTTTTGGGGTCATACCCAGAGGTGCTTGAGACTTACTCCTGGCTCTGCACTCAGGGAACACTCCTGGAAAGCCTCAGAAGACCATAGTGGGTGCTGGGGATTAAATCCAGATCAGTTGTATACAGGGCTATGCTAACGCTGCACTAATCTTGAGTTTTAATCCACTTTGAATTAACTTCTGTGGATGAGATGTTAATCGGGTTTCATTTTTCTTTGTGGCTGTCCAGTTTTCCACCACCATTTGTGATTTTTTTTTTAAGTTTATTTTAATCGGGGCCACACCCAGCTGTGCTCACAGCTTCTTCCTGATTTATGCTCAGCATTAACTCCTGGAAGTGCTGAGGGGCCCATGTGAAGTGCCTGCAGTTGAGCCAGGTCAGCCGTGTGCAAAGCAGCCACTGTAACATCTATACTCTCTCTGCTCCTTAGTACCATTTATTGAAGATGCTTTCCTTGCCCCACTTCATGTACCCAATTCCTTTGTCATAGACTAAACTGTCCATAAATATGGGCTTTCATCTCTGAGCTCTTGGTTCTGTTCCATCAGCCTGCCTTTCTTCCAGCACCACACTATTTTGATTATTATAACCCTACAGGTCGGTTTTTAAGTCGGATAATATATTTTTTTTAATTTTCCATACAAATTTTAGTAGAGTTCTAAACCCTTGACATATGTCATCAGAATTTTGATGGGAGTCACATTTGACCAAAGATGTGATCATTTTCAGTGATAATTTTATCAACTTACAAACATGGACCATCTTACTCCATTTCCTGGTGTCTTCTGTTTCTCACAATGATGACTTAGAGTTTCCAGTGCATAACTCTTTCACATCCTTTGCTAAGTTGATTCCTAGGTATGTGATGCTTTTGGACATTATTTTAAATGGGATTGTCTTTTTTCTTTCTCTACTATTTTGTCATTTTTATGTGGAAATGTATTGAAGTAGATGAGCTCTTTCTGTAAAAGAATGAAATTCTTTTTTTATTTCTTATAGAAGAGAAAACGAAGAGAGAAAGATGATGACGTTGTGAGCCTTAGCAGTCTGGATCTTAAGGTAAGCCTTACTGCTCTGTCAAAGATTATTTCAGACACTAACAGACAGCATTTCACTCTGCTCTAAGAAGAATCAGTACTTTTCTTTTATGTTTTTTTCCTGTATCTTAAGGGCAAAACTGAGTGATACGGACTTTTCAATATATCCTTATTTTTCTTTTCTACTTAAGAATAAGGAGAAACCCTCTCCCAAAGTGATGTTGGCTAAAACTTGTGGTCACAAACTCAGGTATCCAATAGGACAGGGCCCCACACTCCTCTGACAGAAAGGACAATGGGACTTTGGGGGAAGCGTCTGCCACACTCTCTGGTGACAGGCTTCTAATGCTGTGCCACAGCCAGGGCTGCAGCACTGTCACAGTTGTGGGGAACAGAGACAACTGCCACGCTCTCTGGGGTCAGGCGGCTGCTGCTATTCTCCAGCTGGAGCTGCCTGCAGCCCTGTGACTGTTGCATGGTGATAACTCTGATCTTCCCTAGAAGCCAAGAAGCCAAAGCACTCGCCTACAAATTAGCTGCGACCTTTGACCTTATAGAATCTGACCAATGATTAAACTAACCATGTATACATTAAAAAGCAGGGGGCCAGAGAGAAGAGAGTACCACAGGCAAGGCATTGCCTTGCACACAGACAACCCAGGTTCCATCCCTGGCAACACATTTGGTCCCTCAGTCCCTGTCAGGAGTGATCCCTGAGAGTGTGATCCCTGAGCACAGAGTTCCAAGTAAGCACTGTTGGATGTGGTCCAAAAACAAAGACACTATTTTCTAAAATTATGTTTTTATGTCTTCCCAACAATATTTTAGCAAATCTAGCAAGCGAAGTTAAATGTGTATACGTACATAATATCTGTCAGAGAACTATGCTTAAGTGTTCTTTGTACAACAATTTAATGATTACATGTTTTAAAATCTTACATTCAAGAAAGAAGAAAGTATTAATTTACAGCCCTGAATATTTTAAGTATGAATCAAATCAGATACAGATGTAAGATTTGCAGTTTGCTGCATTGAAATCCATGGTCGAATCTATTTAAAATCAATCCTTTCTTCACCCCAGGTTTAGCAATCACCAATAAATGATCTTATAAATCTTCAATCTATTTGTCTACCTTCCCCTACCTCATTTTAAAGTGAATTTTGAACATTGTACAATTTTGATGTATCATCAGTTTCCCTAGTCGTACTTACTTTAGCTTACATATTTTTGATTTTTCATTTTGTCTGAATTGTAATTCAAGTAAAGTTCATACATTGATTTGTTATAGCTCTTAAATATCTTTTAATCTTTAGTTCCTTCTCCAGCTCTGTTTTCTTAGAAATATTTTGTTAAGGAAATAGTGTCCTTTTTTCCTGTAGATTTTAAGATCCTGAATATCCAAGACTGTGTCTCTTCTGTATTATTGCCTTTGTTCAGCTATTCTTGTAATTTTGATGAATTGGTGGTCAGAGCTGGAGATTGGGGCTGTGTACTTCCTTCAGGAGAGGAGTATAAAAGTTTTTTGTGATGTTTCTCAAAATTATTGCTAGATCCAGTTCTTCGGAGATTATCAAGTAGTGATACAAAGCCAATAGCAGCCCTTATTTATTAACTGGAAGTATTTCTAGTGCATGTAAAACTCATTCTCATCCTTTGTAATGCTCAGGCTGGCCTTTATGTTAGTACCTGCCCATGGCTTGGGTTTTATAAAACGTACTGTGAAGTGTTGGGGGTCAGTAAGCCACAACCCACAAACGACGTCTGACTCACCTGTGTGAGCATGTGTCATCACCTCTTTGCCAGCAGTGACCCAGTTCTAAACCCGATCCTGTGTGTCTCATCTCTTGGGTTGGACACACTGGCAGTGCCTTAGCCAGGTTCCCCCTCGAAGACAGGCCTGAGGTGAGAGCTAATTGGCAGGTGCTTTGTTCTGAGGTATGGACTCCACGGAACAGGAATGGGGAAATGAAACAGGAATGGAGACAGCTAAGGCTATAATTAATTAATCGTCACCACTGTAGGCAGCTGCAGCTTGATCCTGCCCCAGCTTTGAAGAGCCCTGTAATCTCTTCTCAAGGGGAAGAGCTGGTCTTACCACTTCCTGAGCTGCAGTAGCCAGCATTCACCTGGTGGGGCATCGAGCCCTCACATTAGCAACCTACCCATGTAGATGCGAAGCCCACAGGCCCGTGAAAGGGTGTCAGGTCTTTCCTGAATGGAGCTGGCTGGGAAAGTGGGAGGCTGGAACAATGCCGCATTGTCGCAGGTTTGGGCCTTAGGTGGGTTTCAGGGGTACATCTCTCTCAGCACCTTATTACATAAGCTTAATTGACCTTATTTAAAGCGTGAATTATCTGTTGCCCGTTATGCTTGTGCAAAATAAAAAAGCTAAAGTCACCAGCAGGGCTGGGGAGACAGTTCAGAGGCATGGCATGCATTGCTTACATGTGGGAGGGCTGAGTTTGGCCCCCGAGTGCCAGCACCTCAGGGGTATCCCCAAAAGTAACCAGTAACACTAATACTTAACTGTTCTGAATTGATCTTTTCCTAGACCAGATTCTTACTAAATGAGACACTCAAATTTCTAATCCAAAATAGTTTTGTAAACATATCCAGTAGAGGGATGAGGAGATAGTGCATAGTGAGGGTGCATGCGCCCAGCCTCGGTTTGGTTCCTGGCTGTGTGGTCATTGGCATCGCCAGGTGCAGCCACAGAAGTACCCAGCACCATGTGTGTGGCCCAGGGAGCATTGAATCCACAGGCCCTTCCACTGAGCTGCCAGCCTGCTTGGCCCAAGAATGGCTTCTTGCACCCTGCTCGGGGCCTCCCCAACATCCAAAAAAAAAACCAACCAGTTACGGCACTTGCGAGGCATGTGTGAAGCCCTGGGTTCAAGAACCCTCAGCACTGCTAAAAATAAAACAGCTACATAAAATGCTATTTTTTCAAACTCATCTTTAGTCCAAGTGTAACTGCCTCCCTCTTTTAGCTTATTACCAGATATTTTGGAAATCTGTATTCTCAGAAGTTCCTTTTTTTTATCCTTTCAACATGTCTTTTAAGATTTAAAATTCTATTTTTAACTGACCTATTTTTAATGTGACATAGAATCATTTGTAATCTTGAACTATAGTTTTTAAAGTGGGTCATAGTTCTCTTATATTTAGGAAAGTTCTTAAAATACTGAGCTGTGGAATCTTTTTATATACTTGTATTATTTTTAAATATTTTATTTACTCATAAATATGGGTTACACAAAATCAGAGATAAAATTTCTTATTCTCAGAAGTTCTGTTTTTAATGAGATATATAATCGTTACTTGTACTCTTGAACTATAGAATTTTAAAGTGGGTCATAGTTTTCTTACATTTTAAAAAAGTTTTTTAAAAGGCATGCCATGAGAGGTGCTGAGGGAAGGATACTGGGGACTTGATAAGACTGAAATCCAATCAAAGTTCTTAAAATTATGGCCGGGATGATACTACAGCAGGTAGGACATTTTTGCTTTGTATGCAGCCAGTCCAGGATCGAACCCCAGCATCCCGTATGGTCCCTAGTACTGCCAGAATCATCCTTGAGCGCAGAGCCACGAGTAACACCTGAGCATCACTGGGTCTGGCCCCAAAAAACAAAATTAAATGTTAAAAGTTCTTAAAATACTTAATCACTTAATCACTTAACTTCCTGTTAGTTGTCGATTTGCTCGAGCGGACGCCAGTAATGTCTCCATTTGTCCCTGTCGCGTGCTAGTGTAGCCCAATGGCATCTGTTCGCTCTGGGAACATGAAGAGCCTCAAACCGATCGTTCATGATCTTGACGAAGAAGTCTGATCATCTGGTAGGTGGGCGGCCACGCGGTCTTTTGACATCCTGTAGAATCCAGTCAGTAACAGCTCTAGTCCAGCGGTCGTCTTTAAATCTCATTACATGACCAGCCCATCTGATTTTTGACACCTTGGCAAATGAGACAGCGTCCCTGATTCTTGATCGTCGACGGATGTCGGAACTCCGGATTCTTTCTCTCATTTGAGTGAAACGTGATATTCCAAGCATAGCTCTTTCTATTCTTCTTTGGGAGACCTGAATCTTAAGACCAGTAACTACAGCTGGTCTCATTCACCTTAAAGTACTAAGCATCTTTTTTATATACTTATTTTTAAATGCTTTATTTACTCATATGCCTACTCATATAAGTTATACAAAATCAAAGGTAAAATTTTTTTCTGTTATCCATATTTCTTTAAGAATTAAAAGATTATGTAGTTACCTGTTTAAGGACCCACTAAGAGAAAGTTGAGAAAAACCTAGCTGGCTGTTGCATTTCACAATATTCCCTGTAGAGGGCAACAGAGCTTAGTCTTTGCTTTCTTTACCATAGATGGCATTCCAAGCCTGATTTCTGATTCCTTGCTTTTGTTCCGGGCAAAAGTAAATAAAAATAAGATATGCATAAGAGTAATGATCATTCTTAAGCTCTAATTTATTTCTAAATTCTCGAGTTCTAATTTTACATTAAAAGGAGGAAAAGAAGTATATTGACAGGTTTTGCTGTAGATAGGAGAAATATGTCAGAATTTCTCTCTTTACCTTAATGATATTCAAGAAAATTAAGTATTAAAAACTAATTACAAGCTGAACAAAGGCTACACGTCAACCTGGTCTTCGTTGTCTTGTTTTGTTTTATTTTGAGCCAAATCTGACCATGTGCAGGCGCTGCTCCTGGCTTGTTGCTTGGGACTAACTCACAGTGGTTCCTTAGGGATTGAGCCCAGGGCTCCTGCGTGCAGAGGACACACGTCCACGCTTCCAGCATGGCCTGACCCCAAAGCCTAGCCTTTTGAAAACCAGTAATTTTACCAAAAAATGTCTCTTTTACAAAAAAGCCACTACTATTTTTAGATAATGCAGTTGTTTTTATAGTTATAGGTTCTAGGTTCTATGCAAAAAATAAATAAATATATAATCTTGTTGTGGGGCCATTCTCAGGACATATTCTCACTCTGTGCTCAAAAGGGCGCT